CTCCTCTGGCGTGTAAGGAATGGTCCCTCCTGAAAGGTCGACGTGTCCTTGAGGATTTTTTGCCATCCCTGCCCTGGTCTGCACAGGTATTCCCAGGTTCCACTTCAGGGATGCACTCAACAGTTCAGCAGGACTGAAAGGATCTCCTCTGGCGTGTAAGGAATGGTCCCTCCTGAAAGGTCGACGTGTCCTTGAGGATTTTTTTGCCATCCCTGCCCTGGTCTGCACAGGTATTCCCAGGTTCCACTTCAGGGATGCACTCAACAGTTCAGCAGGACTGAAAGGGCAATTAAAATGCAGCCTCTTTCTTAATAGGGAGCTGAGACAGGAACAGCGGATTACTCCCGAGGACCTCCGGATTACTCTGAGCGAGGTCCTGTGGCAAAATGGGCAGCCGTGAAGTCCTTGCCTTCCTTCATTTCTACTACCTCCCAAGTATGTCACTCATAACAGCGACAGAAACACCCACTGCCCCCCGCCTGCCAGGGGCTGGCTGGGCCTCCTCCCAGAACACGGTCTACTTGGTCCTGAGGAAGGATGGCTTGAGCCATGGTGGATTTCCTCCCTCGTGAAACCTCTGGCAGCCCAGTACAGTCTGTGCGACTGATCCCTCTAGAAATACTATTTGCAAATGGATAGGCTTTATCCTGCTATCTTCCACTAAACAAAAAAGAAAAATAATCTTCTTCCCTTGTTTTCATCTTCTAAAACTGATTCAGACTAAAGAAGATAAAGAACTCAAGAAGATAAAGTGCATTGTATCAGTGATAATCTCAGGCAGGAGCAACAGAAAAACAGACAAAGGTGCTTTTGTGGATATATTAGAGCTGTGAGGAGAGGCAACCAGGGCTGCCTGCTCTGAGGGCGGCAGTGGAAAGGGTTCGGACTCAGTTCTCACGGTCTCTCAGTTTAAAGGACGGAGGACGTGAGCCGGGCTTTCTGTTCACCTTACGTGAGCACTTGTACAACTCACAGATTTCTAGTTTAAAACAGGACTCATCTGTGATTGCGAGAAAGAGCAGGTTCACAAGGGGAGTTTATAATGATGGTCCACGGGACGAGCCAGAAAAGTCTCTTTAGACAGAACAGATTCATACACAAACTGCTGTATTTACTCAGGACATCTATTGCTTTCTGTGGGAATTCCTGCCCTGGACTAACTCACTGGTCTCCCATACTCTGTGCACTAAGACATAAAACTCCGGAATACTGGAATTAGTGACATAGCCTCCTTAGATACCTTACTTTTCTTTCTGTATATTTTTATTTTACATTTTTTTTTCCCATGAGAGTATGCCCCTGTGTTTCCATTTCATCATCTGAAAAATGGCAATTCATACTATTTTCAGTTTTTCTTGAGATCAAATGAGATATGGTATATTTAACTCCTTGCAAAGGTATTATCTGCTATCTGAATATTCGTTTCCTTAATATTACTATTTTCCACTAGGTCAAGCAGGGCTGTAAACACTCCTCAGTGCCCCCTACTTCAACACACCCTACATCCTAATCTCCCATTCATAGGGTCAGCTTAGCCTCCAAATCCGCCACCATCCTCCCTCCCTCACTCCCTCCCTCCCTCCCGGCGTACCTTGTAGAGCATATAATGGTTTTTTGTCACTGCAAAGATGAGGTTGATGTTGTTCTCTGCCAACTTCTCTCCAAGCAAGGCAAGGGATGGATAGTCCTAGAGCCAAGGCGAAAGTCAGGGTTGTGCCATTTCTAACAGGCTGGGATACCAGCACTGGCTCCAACACACACTCAGCAGCACAGCACTTGCCATGAAAAGCTTTCCCTTGGTGGTCCCTTAAAGCCCCTTAATAACCAAGCCCCATTGGCAGCTCCTGACCTGAGGAACTGTGTAGAGGAGACCCTCAATGAAAGGACCCTTTGGGCCCCACCAAACTAGATTCACTCCTCCTACGCCAGAGTGGAGGGTGGTGAGTGGGGGCTTCCACCCTGGTCTGAATCTCCATCCTTTCAGCAGGGGTGGGGAAGGGTGGGGAGGCCCTGAAGAGAACAGCCCCTTCCTCCCACCTGCTGTCATCACCTGCTATCTTTCCTCTCTCCCTAAGACGTTTCCTTGCCTGATGTTCCTTTCCCTATGCCCAATGGTTAGGCCTGCCGGCGTCCACCACAGGTCCTGCTCAGTCCTGCTCATGGCTGAGAAGGGCAGAGGCGGCTGCTGACGTCTGGACTAAGTTAGGCCATGGGGTAGGGAGTGGGTGGGGTGCAGACTGAGGAGGGAAGAAGGAGGCTGAGAGGCAGCTTAACAGCATCCTTAAGGATTTTAAGGGCTAACGATGGGTACAAGGATCCTCATCTGGTGAGGCCCTATAGTTACACATCCTTTTTCCAGACTCCATTATTCCTGGATAAATGGAAAGCCTGGAAAGCTTGATTCTCCACCTCTTGAAACTGGAGAAAATGGGCTTGTTAAGGAAAGAACATTAGAAAGAATTTCTCACTGGACAGACACCAGAATGGATCTGGGAAAGAAGAGGATGCAGATTTGGGGGGGATTGCGGGGGCAGGGAATTGTATAGTAAATGTGGCAAGATCTTGGTAATTGTTGGGTCTGGGTGAAAGTACACAGAAGTTCATTTTACAGGTCTATTATTATATGTGTTTGAAATTTTCTATGAATCCTTTTAAATTACATAGTTGTGGCCACAGACTATTGGGAGTGGAAGGTCCCTGGGGCCCCTATTCCATTTAGGATGCCTGCTGCCTACTCCTGACACTGAAAGCAAACTCACCACCTCCAGGATCCCATTTCTACAAGTCAGGAGGTCTTGCCCTATAACTTCTATTCCAGTTGTGATCTCTGCAAGGACATAGTCCCCCACCCTCCTTTAAGATCACCTCTCCCCTATGAGATCTACCCTGTCTCCTCCGGGTCGTCTCTTCCTTCAACTAAACACTCCCCATTTAGGTGCACATTGGCAGAAAGATAAACCAGCCTCAGAAACCCCTGAGAAATGTCCTAAGTTAATGAAGAGTTCTGGGAACCCAGCTGGAAAAGATGGAATAATGAAACCCAATCCCAAGAATGGATCAGAAAGTCAGTGAGTACTGAGGGTCAGAGGAAGCTTCCAGAGGCTGGGCGAGCCCTCAGACCACAGGCAGGTTCACAAGGGAAGCCCTGGCCCTCACCATCTGGTTGGATGCTGTGTACTCGTTGGCCTCATTCAGGTGGCACTGGCCGTCGTGCGGCTGCACAAGGCCCCCCAGTTTTCCATCCAGCGCGATGTGGGGCACGTCGTCCGTTGTGAACACCAGCAAGTGCAGTGCATCCTTTCGCCAGCCGATCTTCTCCTGCAGGACAAAGGTGGAGGGTACAACAGACTTCCTGCCCAAGCCTGCCCCCGGGCATCTGGCAGGGCACTGGCCTGTTTCCAGGGGTCACACGCTGAATCAGAAGCATTCCCCTTGTGTGTACCTGGGGCACACTCATAAAACCACGGGGGAGAGATCCAGAGAGGCTAGGAAGAGACAACCCGGACTAAAAGCCTAGATGCAGAGACGAATCTGCAAGCCTTTGCCTGTGCAGGCCCCTGCACCTGGAACTTCTCCCTCCAGCCCTTCGCCCTCTCCCCACTCCTTTCAGTGACACCCGAGGGCTGCTCCTCCTCATGCTCCCCGTTTCAGCTGCACCTGTTATTCCTTCCCCAGAACAACCTTTAACCCACCCCAACCTCCCACCAACACACTCTGGCTGGCTGGGCTTGTCTAAGATGATGGTTAAGTGAACACTTCAGCCCCACATCAGACATGAATCTCTCAGAATGGAGAACTCAAGTGACCAATAGATGGATCTGTCTTTTGGGGACTTGGTAAAACCTGCTACCTTCTCTGGCAGATGCAAATCACTCCAATCACTAATTGAATCACTTTGGTGTTTAAAGTCAATCAGATCAGCTCTTTTTTTCTTTTACTGCTTCCCTGTAGGGAATTTATCCAGTCTTCAGACTTAGGCACAGCTAAATGCAGTCTGTATTGCAAGGAAAGGACTCTATTTTTTCATATTCAGCCACTGTGGCCCCAACACTACACAAAAACACTCCCAGTTATTATTAGGAACAGCTAGACCCTGATACAGAGCAACAAAATGGGATATGGTCACCTTCTTACTAACAGCGAAAGGGCATCCCAGAATGTGGTGGTAGCGGGGTGAATATATGAAGGATTTAAACATTGCTAAGTGTTACCTACACTTGCGTATTTGATATTGAAATAAGAGACTGGATTCACAGACCCTACAAGCTAAAAGCTATTGCTATCTTATGGCAGATGAGGGGTCGAGGGTATCCTCTCTTATTTATATTCATAATGATGGATGAAACAGTCTAAAGAGCTATAATATTTTCTCACTTGCTCCAGAAGCAGCATGGAAATAAAATAAATAAATAAATTGCAAAAAGTCAGAGCAACACGAGGGAGAAAAGGGGTCCCCTGGGGTCTTGGACTGTATCCCCTGTGGATAAGGGGGGACTACTGTAAATACAATGTCAGTGGAAGCTGGAAAGATGAGGAGATGGAGAGAAAGACTTCTCAGCATAGAAAAAACTTAAGCTGAGCTGGGAAGATGAGGAGGACACTTCAAGGAAGCTGGAAGAAGAAACCAGGAGGGAGAAGGCAGAGGCAGTGGGGGCATTCTAGGTATTAGCAAAAGCCTGGAAGGGAAAGGGACACAGTGAGGAGGGCAGGCATGAACTTAGAAGGTCCCTTACGGCAATGAAATGCTAAGCCACGTCGAAACTATTTATGTGCAGTAGTCGGGACAGTGGTTCCCCTTGGTGGCAGCACTGGAAGTGCTCACGGGAGGCTTCCAGGGTGCTGCTAATGCTGTTTCTTGACCTGATTTTTTCACCTTGTGAACATTTATCGAGATGTACTCTTATATATAGTTTTCTTTGTGCACATTATATTTTGAGAAAGAGTTTAAAACTTTTAAATGAATAAAGCAATGCATTACAAGCCACGGAGTGTGGAAGGGAGGTGGCGAGATGCTTGGGAGATAAAGCACAATCAGGAGAGAGTGTAAACCAGCAGGGTTTTTTGCAGGAAAATGTGGATCTGTTAACCACAAGGACCGGCCATGTGCTAAACACCTGAGCAAAAAAGTAGAAGACAAAGCTTTAATTCAACAAATTGTATTAAGAGCCTTAAAGAAAATCAGTGACCTAAATAAATGGACAGAGATATCATTTTCATGATTGGAAGATGTTGAGATGTCATTTCTCCACAAATTGATTTATAGATTTGACACAATCACAATCAAAAGCCCAGAAGTCCTTTTTGAAAGAATGTCAGGCTGATTCTAAAATTTATACGGAATTGTCAACAATGGAGACTAGCCAAACAATTTTGAAAAAGAACAAAGTTGGAGGACTCACTATCTAAGGTCAAAATTTATTACAAAGCTATAGTAAACAAGACAGTGTGGTATTAAAAGGTTAGACACATAAACGTGTGGAACGGGACAGAGTAACCACACGTAGGCCCACACTTATACAGTCAATCCAACAAAGGATACTGAAATAACTGGACATCCATATACAAAAACATGAGGTCCAACCCATACCTCTCACCATATACAAAAGTGAACTCAAAGTGGATCACAGACCAAAATTGAGACCTAAAGCTGTAAAACTTCTGAGGTAAACTTAGCAGAAAACCTTTGTGACTCTGGTATAGGCAAAGATTTCTTAAATAAGATAATCTACTGGATAAAAAAATCGATAAGTTGTACTTCATCAAAATTAAAAACTTCTGCTCTTTGAAAGACACTGTTAAAATGAAATGACAAGGCAGGGACTGGAAGAAAATACTTGCAAAAAAAAAAAATCTGATAAAATGATTTGTATCCAGAATATATAAAGAACTCTCATAGGTCAATAGTGAATAAATAAACAACTAAATTTAAAAAGTGGTCAAAAGATTTGAATAGACAGTTCACCAGAGAAGAGATATGCATGGAAATAAGCACATGAAAAGACCCTCAACATCGTAAGTTATTAAGAAAATGCACATTAAAACCACAGAGAGGTAGCCATTAGACAGCTATTGGAATGGCACACCAACCAACCAACCAAACCAACCAACCCTGGCAATACCAAGTGCTGGTAAGGATGTGGAACAACTGGAACTCTCACAATTGCTGGTCGGAATACAGTATGTTTCAGCCACTTTGGAAAACTTTTTGGCAGATTCTTATAAAGTTAAACATACACTTACTATCGATCCAGCAATCTTACTCTTTGGTATTTACCAAAGAGAAACGAAAATGTATGCTCATATAAAAACCTCTATGCAAATATTTATAACAACTTTATTCATAATCGCCAAAAACTAGAAACAACCCAAATGTCCATCATGTAGCGAATAGACAAGACACATCGTAGCTCATTCATACAACAGAATACTACTCAGCAATAAAAAGGAACAGACTACGGATACACACAACACCACTGATGAATCTCAAAAGCATTATGTTAAGTGAAAAAAGTCTGACTCAAAAGTCAACATATAGTCTAATTCCATTCATATGGTACTCAGAAAAAGACAAAAATACAGGGACAGAAAACTGATTAGTGATTGCCAAAGGCTGTGAGTAAAGGGAGGAGATAAAAAAGGTACACTAGGAAACTTTCTAGGGTGAGGGAAATCATCCATATTTTAACTGTGGGGATGGCTATTAGACTTTCCACCTAGAAAGTATAAATTCTACTTTATGTAAATTATCCCTCATAAACATAACTTTAAAAAAACCCAAAAACCCTTTAAGAAGTATATATCTTTTGGGCCGGCCCGGTGGCGCAGTGCTACAGTGCGCCGCTTGGGAGTGTGGCAGCGCTCCCGCCAAGGGTTCGGATCCCACATACAGACCGGTTCCCGCTCACTGGCTGAGCGAGGTGTGGGAGCAACACCGAGGGTTGCAATCCCGTTGCCGGTCCCGGTCCGGTACGGGCGCGACACTGAGGGTTGCGATCCGTTGCCGGACACGAAAAAAAAAAAAAAAAGAAGTATATATCTTTTGACCCAGTGATTCTACTTCGGGGGAATCTATCCACAAGAAGTATTCTGAAATATCCACAACAGCATTCTCACTAATAGTGAGAAAAGGGAAAGACATGAATATGCTGCTATATGGGAATGGGTAAGGAAACTGAGACATCTCCTCTACAGCCATTACAAATCGTGTTCACTAAAAAGTACGAAACTGTGCATAAGCATGTATAATAAAAGTGAAAACAAAGAATACAGCACCACACGTAGTGTGATTACAAACTATGTAAGAAACAAGCATAACTCTCTATTAAAACTAGAACAAGAGAGATTGAAAAAAAAATCACCACAATGTGTTTAGGGGTGGGGCTGACATTGTGGGTAATCTCTTTTTCTTTTTCCCATTAGTTTCCAAACTGTCTTTAGTAAGCAAGTACTAGTTTTGCAACAGTGGGCTTTGAATGCTGGCTCTATCATTTAACTTTTTCAGTCTCCATTTCTTCCATGCTGGCTTCTCAAGGGTCTTTTGAGGACACCAAGGAGGGTGGCACCAAGGAGAGAGAACAACATGGAACTTGAATTTTTTTTTTTCCTTTTTGTCTTTTTTCGTGACCGGTAACGGGATTGCAACCCTTGGTGTTGTGCCCGCACCGCCGCTCAGCCAGTGAGCAGACCGGTCTCTATATGGGATCCGAACCCTCAGCGGGAGCGCCGCCGCACTCCGAAGCGCCGCACTCAACCAAATGCGCCACCGGGCCAGCCCGGAACTTGAATTTTTTTGCCTCCTCTAATTATCTATGTGGCTTTAATCAAATCAATTTAACGCCTCAAAAGCTTTTTTCTTGTCAGTAAAACAGAAATAATAATACTTAACATTTATCGAGCACTTCGATTATTCCATTTAATCTTCACTGCAACCCCATGCAGTAGATAATACACTGTCATCTTATAGATGAGCAACCTGGTGGTCAGAGAGATGACCTAGCCAGCCCACTCAATGAGCAAGGGCCAGGGAAGCCACATTCAGATGATCCGTCTCTTACCCATGAAGCTAAAGTACCCAGCCACATAGGGAGAGGCGGCTGTGCGTGTCTGTAATAAATGAGAGAATTCATGAAAGAGCCTGGTGCATGGTAAACTCTCAACCAATGACCGTGGGATCCAAAATAAATGTTTATGGGATGGAAGGCTGCAACTGAAATGGAAAGAGCCCCACAACTGAAAAGTGGCACAACATAATAATAATAATTCTGTTTTCTCTGAAGTGGGCCCTTGTTATGTAAATGGTGTTCACAAACTTGGCCCAG